CCCCAAAACCCCAAAACCCCAAAACCCCAAAACCCCTGATTAGTATTAAATGATTGAGAAAATGATATTTAAAGAATTAATTTCTGACGTTGATAATTAATTAAATGGAAAGACAATCTCGTAAACCACTTGTCCTTGTGACAGGAGTCTCAGGCTATGTTGCTTCATGGTGAGTTCACACTCTTATCAAAACTGGAAAGTACAGAGTGAGAGGCACTGTAAGAGATCATACTGATCAAAGCCAAATGGAGATCCTCAGAAAGGGATTTGGAGATTACTTTGATCAGATTGAATTTGTATCAGCTGATCTACAAGATCAAGAAGCAATAAAGAAAGCAGTAGATGATGTCACATATGTACTTCATATTGCTTCCCCTTACCCAATGGCATCTCCAAAGAATGCAGACAAAGAAGTAATACAGCCTGCTATTGATGGCAATAAGCACATACTCAATGCATGTGTTGGCTCTTACGTTCAGAAAGTTATACTTACTTCTTCTACATTAACAGTCCAAGACTTTTGGGAAAACCCAGATAAAGTATCTGACCATCGAACTATTGTGAAAGAAAACAAGAAAATGATTCCTTACTACAAGAGCAAAATCAGAGCTGAGAGGTACGCCTTTGAGTTCATGGACAACCTCAAGTCTGCTGATAGAACTTTTGAGTTGGTTACTATTCACCCTGGAGTTATCACTGGAAGAGCATTACTTCCTCGTGCTGATGGAGCTTCTCTGGGATTGATGAAGAACGTCCTCGAAAACAAGCTCCCAGGAGTTATTCCTATGTATTTTGCTCAAGTAGATGTTCAGGACGTCGCTTTGGCCCATGTAAATGCAATTGAAATGGGTAGAGACAGAGAGAGGTATCCACTAGCTAGTGGGACTTACACAATGGGAGAACTTTTTGATCCTATTAGAGAAGAATTCGCCTCAAAAGGATATAAAATAACAAAGAAGGAGATGAGCAAATGTGCAGTACGTATCGGAGCTATATTCAATAAAGACGCCAGATTCTTTTTATCAATCTGGAATATTCATGCAGAAGTAGATGGTACTTTTGCAGCTAAAGAACTTGGGCTCAAATATAAGCCAATGAAAGAGAGTGTTGTAGAAGCTTGAGATTCTTTGATCGAATTCGGGTTAGTCAAAAGCCCATAATTGTAACCATAGTATATAATACGTCATAAATTTACCCAATAATCAATCGTATAATAGTTTAATGGGGTTTTGGGGTTTTGGGGTTTTGGGGTTTTGGGG